GAATTATATATTATTATTGTATGTTTTTTCCCACTAAAAGAAGACTTTTTAGTTGTACATAATTGATTTTGACTTTTTTATTTCTCTTACAATTTTTAATATAAAACTTATTTAACTAATGATTTTTAATATAAAACTTATTTAACTAAAATTAGATTAAGAAAGTTAGATAAGTTAGTTAATTATAAAAAATATAACATGTTTTTCTTAAAACACTATAATCATTTTTCTTAATATCTTCCCTCCGTCATTTATTTGATTATGGTTGAGGAAATATCTATATGGGTAATTTAGAAAAAATTGATAAATATAAAAAATAAGTTTTGTATTTAGAATTAAGTTAATTTAACAATTAGATCCTATATTAAAAATCGAACGGGTAATATTTAATATTGTGTCAATTAATATTTAATTGTTAAGTGGATGGGATATGATAAAGGTTGTTTGGATTGATGACTTTATTCGCCACTTCAAACTTTTGAAGGTCATGTTTTGCAATAATACTGTATGTCTGTAAAGGTGAACATTATATGTGTGTGTGTGCAGCCAAATAAATACAATGCAATGATATCGCATTGATGTACTGTGGTTGGCATCACCATTAAAATTGTATATAAATATATTTTATGTAAATTAAAATATATTTTTTTCATATGCTTATTTTATATTTCATAAATCATAATTAAAAAATTATTTATAAATTAGTTCAAACAGGCTGTAAAATATTTCATTAAGAAGGTGCATTTGACCAACTATGCTTGGAAACCCCTGCTATGTCCTTTTTTTGTAGGTAATATATGTGTAATCTCTTTTTCTTATCAATATCATTTTTTATCTTGATTATAAAAAAACTAGATATATTGTAAGCAATGGAAACATACTATAGCAAGTTTTAATTAAAAAAACTGACTTTTTTAATTAAATTCTATCACAACATAATTCACATTACACTAATCAATTTTCACCTCAATTTTAGTTTGTAAAAATCAATTGAAATAAATTACTGTTAACGGTGATAATCCAAACAGGCCCTAAAAATGTTAGGATTAGAAGGCTTAAAACATAATCAAATACACACTTTTGCCAAAGATTTATTTTAATTATGAATGTAAGATTTCAATCCATTTTATTTTTTAAATTTATAAAATTTTTCTTAAACTTTTCTTTATAAATTGCACACACTAAGAAAGGTTTTCTATAAAAGAGTAATTGCACATGCAAATGGTTAAAATGATTATTTTAGTAAAATTAGCATCCATTTATTCTAAATAACTGATTTAACTAATCTTTGTAATATCTATAAATCAGTTATCTAATAATTACTGTTTTGATTCTACAAACAAAATCTTATGCTAATATTAAATATCCAAGGAAGATTAAAAGTAGCTAGTGACTATACCATGAAAGCTAATAAACAAGGAAAAAAAAACCGGATCGGGAATTAAACCGGTTAAGATAGTAGGTTAAGGGTTACTAGTTGAACCAGGGTTGGGTTGGGGTTAAACCGATCATATTAAAATAATATAATTTTATTTAAAATATTAAAATAAAATAAAATTTATAAATAATATCACTCTCAAAAAATAAAAGAAGTTACAAAATTTGACAGGACTTTCATCTTATTTTATTAATCATGTAATTATATAATATGTATTTATATATAATAATATAAGTCTTTGAAAAACGAAACACATAAGAGAAACATTTATGATGACAAGTCTGCAAAGTCTCTCATCTTTTAAACTTCCAAGGCACACAGCTCTCTTCATTCGTCTCTTTCTTTTCTTTTTGTAAGTTGAGTTATCTTTTCTTCTTCCACCCCCTTCTCTTTTTGTGAATCCTTCTTCCGTCTCTTTCTTTTTCAAATTCATTTGTCTCTTTCTTCTTCCACCTCTCTCCTTCTGTGGAGATTTCTACGGCTTTCGTAGGTAGTAGTTTTTCCTTCTTCTTCTTTCTCTTCTTCTGTGTTTCAAAAAGCCAATAACAAGCTCTGCTCTCTGGTTTCAAAAAATGATTGCCAGCTCCTCTCCTCCCTATCTCTCCCTCTCAGCCATTGTCCTCCTTTCTCTTTCTTGCCTTCATTCCTTCTTCCTTCAGATCTGACTGGTATTGCTCTCCTTCTTTTAGCCTTAGTCTTCCTCCTCTCCTGTCTTTCTTTTTGTGTTAATTTTTTCATTTTTGCATCAGGTTTTTTTCTTGAGCAATTTTTTTTAAAGTGACCCGAACAACTCAATCCAACCAGAGGTTTTCCCGGTTTGATGCCGGATTACACCGGTTTATTTTGGTTTACTCTGGTTTGATCTCCCACCGGTTTTGTTGATGAACCAGTGGTCCGGTTCACCGATTTTTGGTTTGAACCGGTCAATAAAGTCTGGTTTTTTGTTCATTACTAATAAGCCATGCAGCTGATTTTGCAAATCAAAAGCCAGCACAGAGATAGCTACTAGTACATCAACTTGCGACAAGAGCCTCAAGCGCTATTTCTTCCATGCATGCATACATATTTTATGATATACCTAACTAAATTATATATTTATGTCACACAATTTTTTCACACCACACTTTACTCCCCACTTGAATTTTAATTAATTATATCATCTTGTCCATCTTTTAAGTCTCATCTTCAACGTACGTGTATGAGTCATGTCAATATCATATATAATACTACGTCTGGTCCTAAATATAAGAACTAGTTGACTAATTCAAATAGATTAAGAAAATAAGTTAAATCAGTTATTTATAATAAATAGGTATTGTCTTTCCTAAAATATCTTTGTTGATTAAGTTTATTGGTTAGAACTACAATTATTAGAAGGACTATTTTGAAAAAAAAAGGATAAAAATAAAAATCAAATAAGGTCTTATATTAAGAATAGGAGGTAGTAATATATATATATATACATATATGTCTTTATCAGTCACTGTAGTTCCTAGAGGGCCAAGGAAAATAAATATAAATAAATGGCCACAGCTAATAATAATAATAATACCAATATAGTTGTAATTATTTGCAGCGGCATGTATATGCACCGCCAGTTTTTGAAAACTGGTAATCGTCACATAATCGAATATAGCCAAAACCAATGTTGGGTGCAGTTGTTTGATTAATTAATTAAGCGATCAATCAATCATGATGTAATTATCAACCATGATTGTTAGATATAATATCTAAATAAATACTTCCTCCAATTTTTAATATAAAAGATAATTAGAGGTTGAATTTGATTTTAAATATAAAAAATTGGTTCATTTTCATCAATCATATTTATCAATTTTTTTCAAACTAATTTATTAACTGATATATCGGGTCATGTTTTTAATAACAATAACTATTTTATTTTATTTTATAATTTATTTTACTTGGTTAAGTAATTTTTATATTAAAAATAGAAAAAGAATGGGATTAGACTAATCTGAGTTAAGGCATGTGGGTGAGATCCACGGCAGAAATGCAGAGCCCCTGAATTAACAACAATGAAAGCAGACACAAAATAAAGAAAGACGAATTGAAGCAAAACCATGTGCTTTGGTGAAGCACGATATTGAAGCAGCCAAATATTGTCGAATTAATCAGGCTTCTTGTAATAGTGGGTTCTTAATTCATAATTAATTAATTAAGTAATTAAGAGATCATATAGAGAGAGGCCACATGCATGCATTGATTCTATCCCCCACTGTATATATAATAGCACTGGTTCTTAATATAAGATACAGTTAATTAATTTGAGAAAATTAAAAAAACTGAATAATGACTTAATTATAACATATGTTATATGATCTCATTGAAATATTTATGTACATTATTAGATTGTATATTAATTTATAACCCAGGTAGATTAGTTTAAAGAAAAATAATGAATATAAATATTTAAAGTAGTTTATTTAACTCTTCAAAGTCCCTTCAAGCCAAAAAAAAAAAAAATAAAATCCCCAAACTAGTTAGTTAAGTCTTATATTAAGGAGCATACTATTACCTCCACTCTTTAATATAAGAACTAGCTGACTAATTTGAATAGATTAAATATGTGTTATTTTTACTAAAATATTCTTACTAATTAAGTGTACTGGTTAGAATTATTATTATTACAAAAATTATCTTAAAAACATAGATAAATATGAAAGATAAAATGAATTAAAATCTTATATTTAGAACTAAAATAAAAATTAAAAAATTTTATATTAAGCTTTAGCTTCATCTCGAGCCAAAAAAAAAAAAAATTTACGAGCTGGCAAGCATATATAAGGCGGAATCACCCCTTTCCTGCGTGTTCGTGTTCTTAAATTTTGTTCGACTTGTGGTTGATACTTTGATTTTTCCATGTATTTCAGACGACTCCATGTTACCCATATTTTTTAATAGGGTTTTAAAAATCATTATTTAGAAAAATATATCTAAAATGATGAAACCAATAATAAAAAGAATAATTTACTTTATTAGCATGTTCGTAATGAAGAAAAATGAAATATTTTCCGTCTTTTCTCAAATTTTGTAGAACAAACAATAACAAAACATCCAAAAAATTTTTCAGAAATTTTCATTTCTAAAAAAATTAATTTTTTTATTTTTTAAATCATAGAGCCGAAAACATATTTTCAATCATGTTTTTTTTTATCAGCTAAAAAAAATCATGTTTTTCTTAAATTTTTTTTCAAACAAAAAAAAAACTACTTTGAAAATAGAAAACCAAACAGCCTTAAATTATTTTAGATGTCCATATTTTTTAAGCCCAAACGTACTGTTATTGTTGATAAAGGATAAATATTTTTTGACCCAATAAACTATGAGAGCCCAATTTAAAAGAAATCATGGGTCAATATTGGGCCATTGAGAGACCGCCCCAGCGCAAGAAGCCCATTGCTCCCCCGGTCGCCCTGAGCATGTCTTCTTCAGTCCCTCCCATCTTTCGCCTGCAGACAGCTCGGCTTCAAAACCTGAGGGAAATAAGCCATCAACGTATCTCTTCCTCTTCACATCTTGCAGCTTCCTCGATCTCACTCTCATTTGCAGGCGTGGCTCTTTCTCGTCCTCTCTCTAAAACCTCTCTAATCATGGCTTCTCCTCCTCCTCCTCTGTAAAATACTCTGTTCTATTGTTCACGATCCCCAATCCATGCATTGTGCGATGGATTTGAAGAGGCTGTCAAACAGTAAGCCTTCTCCAATTTTCTTACCATTCATACGCCCCTTCAACTGGGTCACTTCCCCAGTGCTACGCCATCATCACCTTCATGACCTTGACCCTCCTTCTCCTCCTAAGCCGCCGCCGCCCTTACAGCCCCAACAGCAACCACAGTCTTCTAATCAGGCTTTTCTTGACATGGTACCTTCTATTCTCTCTAGCAGAGTTCTAGATTCTTCAAAGTGTAAAGAATTGATACACCATTTGTCGCCTCATGATTTTGATCAACTATTCTTTTCTATTCATTCAAATGTGAACCTCAAAACGACTCTTCATTTCTTTCATTTTGCTTCCGATTCTTTTAATTTTCATTTCACGGTTCGGTCGTATTGCCTTTTGGTTCGTTTGCTTCTAGCTTCCAATTATTTACCGCCCGCTAGATTGCTTTTGATCCGTTTGCTTGATGGAAACTTGCCCACTCTGTTTAAAAACCGTGAGAACAGGCACCTTGATATAGCTGCTTCTATGTTGGAACTTAATGCAGTTACTGAACGGAGACATGGTGAATTGGATTTGTTGCTTCATATCTCCTGTACCCAATTTAAGAAATTGGGTTTGGGTTTTGCTATTGATATCTTTTACGCGTTTGCGAGGAAGTGTATCTTTCCCTCTCGGAAGACATGTAATTTCTTGTTAACCTCCTTAGTGAAGGCTAATGAACTTGATATGAGTTACAAAGTGTTTGAAGTTATTTGCAAAGATTTTTCTCCGGATGTTTACACTTTTACTACTGCAATCAATGCATTTTTCAAGGGACGGAGGATTGAAGATGCAATTAATTTGTTCTTGAAAATGGAGGAGATTGGTATTTCGCCAAATGTTGTCACCTACAATAATATGATTGATGGGCTCTGCAAGAGTGGAAGATTAAAGGAAGCATTCCAATTTAAAGAAAAGATGGTAAGAAGTAAAGTAGATCCAAGTCTCATAACATATAGCTTGCTTATTAATGCTATGATGAAGTTGGAAAAATTTGACGAAGCAAATTGCATTTTGGTAGAAATGTTGAACAGCGGGTTTGTGCCCAATGTAGTTGTTTACAATACACTGATCGATGGGTTCTGCAGGAAGGGAAATATGAGCGAGGCACTAAGGATCAGGGATGACATGTTATCTAAGGGTGTAACACCCAATTCTGTAACTTCTAATACTCTTTTACAAGGTTTCTGCAGGTGTAATCAAATGGAACAAGCTGAACAAGCATTAGATAATATTTTCCTTAGTGGGTCATCTGTTAATCAGGATGCATGTTCTTATGTAATTTACTGGTTATGCAACAATTCAAGGCCTGACTCAGCACTACGGTTTGTTAAAGAGTTGTTGTTAAGGAACATTAAGCCCAGCGATAGCATCCTTACTTCATTGGTCCGTGGTCTCTGTAAGAGTCAAAAACATTCAGAGGCAATCGGACTTTGGTTTAGCCTTGCTGAGAAAAGTTTTGCAGCCAATACTGTTACCTCAAATGCTCTCCTTCATGGACTTTGTGAACAAGGTGATATGCAGGAGGTTATCACAGTGCTCAAAAAAATGCTAGAGAAGGGTTTGGTGTTGGATAGGATATCATACAACACACTCATTCAAGGCTTTTGCAAAGGAGGTGGAATTGAGTATGCTTTCAAGCTTAAGGAAGAGATGGTTACGCAGAGAATCCTGCCAGATATGCAAACTTACAATTACATTGTGAAGGCTTTATGCGACATTGGTAAAATGGATGAAATTAACAAGCTTTTGCATGAAAGTAAAGAAAATGGCTTGGTTCCAAATGTCTATACATATGCATCTATTATAGAAGGATATTGTAGGGCTGAAAGGATTGAAGATGGTGTAAACTTTTTCAATGGGTTGGTTAATGAGAAAGTAGAGCTAAGTCCTGTTATTTATAACATACTTATTGCCGCCTATTGTCGAATTGGAAATGTAACAGAAGCCTTTGAACTTTGTGAGGCCATGAAAAGTAGGGGTATCCCACCAACTTGTGCCACATATTCTTCTCTAATACATGGATTGTGCAACATTGGCCGCATCGATGAAGCAAAAGATATATTTGAAAAAATGAGAGATGATGGCTTATCGCCCAATGTTGTTTGTTATACTGCTCTGATTGGCGGTTACTGTAAGTTAGGCCAAATGGATAATGTGGAGGGCATCGTACAGGAAATGTCTTCAAATAATATAAAACCCAATAAAATTACCTACACTATTATGATTGATGGGTATTCTAAATTGGGCAATATGAAGGAAGCCCACAAGCTTGTAAATGAGATGATAGCAAGTGGAATTGCACCAGATAAGATCACTTATAATACGCTTGGAAACGGTTAATGCCAGAAAAAAAGCTACTACCGCTTTTGAACTGCGTGATCATACCCCTAGAAGAGAGATAATTACATGTGATCACTTATAATTACATGTACAACATTGATCAAGGTTTGCTTCCATCTACATAGCTTAGAACTAGCATGAAATTGTAAAACATTGGATCTTGTTACTTTGAGTTTTATGGTTGATGCTGCTGTTATTATGCTTGATTCTCAGCTCGTCATCTGGAAAATAAAGGTTTCATATGCTCTTCCCTTGGCTGCTTGATGAAGAATGAGCTTTGTCTTCAGAGGTTGGCCACTTGATGTAAGAAAGTGCGTTCGTTTTGCTATGCAATTTTTTTTTTTTTGGTTAAATTCTCTTGTGATGTTTCGAATATAGGGATGAAGGTATTGTTAAGGCAAACATCCTATGCCACTTTTTTCTTGTACATTAAATATATTTATGTTTCCTGTAATCCTCCTTCCAGAGGTTTTAAGGATATTCACCATCATGCTCTCTGGATGTCAAATAATGTTTCCTTGGTTCAATTTGTGTTATTTTCTGCCCCCCCGACTGTCCTAAAGATCTATTTTTGTATTGACGAGTCTGGCAGTAATGCAGTTATATTTCAATCGTAATCACTGTTCTAGTTGTATTTGGAACTTGGGAAAATATTTTCCCATATAAAGACTCTTTTCCTGCATTCTTAGGACTGGGTCAACTATCACTCTAAAATGATTGGTTTTGCATCCATAATGGTGAACTGTCTTTAGCTATCCATTTATGAGACATGTATCTGTATTGTGTTCCATGGTCAAAAACTTGTTTAGTGTTGCTTATCTTATAACATTGATATATTTGAATGTGGTGAAAAAGTGGCTATATTCTTATTTGTTCTATTTGTTAGTGTAATGATCCCCTGCTCATGTTAATTGCAGGGCGAGGATTCGCAGTACAGCAAAGGTTTTGTTGCTTCATAACCAATAGCGAGGTTGCTGTTTTTTTATTGATCCTTTGCTCATTATATGTGTTGATACCATTCTAATTTATTTGTTTTCTGGGTTTGTTACCGTTAGTATGGGAACCAAGTAGCTGATACCATCCTCCTCTCCTATCATGCTGGCAAGATTCAAACAAGAGAAGAGCGGGATATTGTTAAAGCATCAAGCAGAGAAGATCTCCGTTTATATTCTTTTCCGTTACTCGACCACAGGTTGTTTCATGGACGACAGTTTCCAATACGAAGGATAAACTAAATGAACTTGTGGGGATAACAAAGACTTGAAGAAGCTTGCAAGTGAGTAGACCAGATTCCTTTTTTTTGCCCTCAAAATCAGATTTTAAGGATTTGGATCATCGAGCAGATTTTAACACATAATCTTGGACTGTTTCGTTTGATTTCCTATACCATCCCAAACACGCGTTTCCAGATAGAAGGGCAAGCTCCACCAAAAGACCTGATGGAAATTTCTCAAGGCGGGGAAGTTGATGTAGAAAAAGCTACAGAGGTAGTACTCTCCATGGGTTCTGGTAAGGGCAACCTCTTCTCCCACTTTGAATTTTTATACTATTTCAATGTTGTTTTGTTCTGTTGGACCTTATGTAGTTCTCAATCCACACTATTTTCTCCAGGTTCCAGCTTGTGGCTTAGACCTCTGTTGATTTTCATGCTCCTATCATGCCTTTAATCTATGAAGCTTCTGATTATCACTGATACCTACTTGCAAGTTGGTAGTAACTTTTTAAAGCCGCTTCTGATGCTCCTCCTCCTCTTCTTCAGATGAAGGCAGTTAGTTCTTCTTTTTTTTCCTCCTCTTGATTACTTATTATCCCGGATAAAATCTATTTTCCTTTTCGGTGAAAGATAAAATCTTGTTTACTCTGGTACTTTGGTCTAAAATTAGTTTTCCCTTTTTTTTTTCCCTTTTTATTTCATGATTGTTGTTGTATCGTTCGAATCAGCTTTTTTACCAATATACGATAAACAGTAAAATTATATACCAAAATGCTATACTTTTGAAACTATTTACCAATAAATTGCACTTAAAATCGTTCTTAGCAAGAACGATTTTAAAATTACACGCAAGTCATTGAACGATTTCAGAAATCGTTCACGCCAAGAACGATTTCAGAAATCGTTCACGCCAAGAACGATTTTACTTTTTCCTGTTCATTCTCTCACATACAAATCTCTGCTAATTTTACATGCAAAAATAAGAGTTTAAAATGGTATATACTCTTTGTACCATTTTAATTGGCTTTTTTACCAATATACGAAATCGTTTAGCAGATAAATGACTTTAAAAATTATTTACCTAAAGAATGATTTTAAGTGTAGCATATTAGTAAATACTTTGAAAAGTACAGTATATTAGTATATAATTTTACTTTTTGTGGTATTTTGGTAAAAAAGCCTGTCGTGTGCCATTTGTTCAGTTTGACGAGAAATCAAGCATTGGGCATGGACTTTTTATGCCTGTAACCAAAATAATAATAATAATAATTTAGTCCTGTAACTTATTTGCTACAACTAAAAATTTACAATCAAAGCATTTTTTTTTGGTTACGTATTGTTTGGTATGAGAAAAATAAAATGAAGAGAAAATAACAGAAAATTTTATCAAGCTCTATTTAAAAAATTAAAAAAATTCAGATTTTTAAATTTTAATCTAATATAGACGTTGTAGCCTCATGGGAACATTGTCAAGGATTTTTATTTTTACATGTAAAATTAGTAGAGATTCGTATGTAAGAGAGTGAACAGAAAAAAGTAAAATCGTTTTCGGCGTAAACGATTTCTAAAATCATTCACATCAAGAACGACTTGTGTGTAATTTTAAAATCATTATTACCAAGAACGATTTTAAGTATAGCATATTGGTAAATTGGTAAATAGTTTCAAAAGCGTAGCATTTTGGTATATAATTTTATTGTTTATCGTTGTTGGTAAAAAAACCCTGTTCGAATCTCTTGTTTAGAATTTAAAATGTTAAAAATTCTATTGTCGAAAGCATATTCCAATCAGTTTTAAATAATTTTATAATCTTTTACAATTATTATTGAAATTATATTAGCATTTTAGATCTAAATTTGCCTGCTTAAAACTTCAATAATAGATTCAAAACGCAATAAAAAATAGATTTTGATATCAAAATAGTTCATCATTTTAATGTTCATAGGATTATTTTTATTCCGGGTATGACAGGAGGATTATGTAAAAGCTGAAGAAAAAAATCACTTCACAATGTTGAACTAGATTTTTTATCATGATAATAATAACTTAACAAAGTTTTGGAAAAAAAAGAAAGCAAAATTTGGAGGGAAAAAAAAGGAGTCATGGGTATTAAAAAAAAAAAAACACAAATGACACAAGCACGGAATCGCAGGCAATGAGCCTCGTTTGTAAGGCATTTGGATTTAGATCCGCCGCCCTGCCGATCACAATATGAAAGACGTTGGATTGATCTGACGGTCTTTGTCTCGCCACGTCATCAGAAAAGTCAAGTGCATCCTGACCGTCTCTTTTTAGCCTCCTCCTGGCATCAAAGGCTAAGAGACGTGGATATCCATAGTCAGTTCCTCCGATTGCCTCCGCGGCCCCCCGCGCATCTTCTGCTACGACGGTCGAGCGGAAGCTCTCCGGCTGTTCGAAGTGGTCATCGGTAAACTTTTTTCAGATGAGCCCATTAATTATGCCACACCTTGCATCTTCGATGGTTTTGTTGATGAAGCAATAATGAATATGATAGGAAGGGCAGAAGATAAAGCCAGAGAGATTCAAATAGGAAAAACACTGTAGGCGGTGGGGAGAGGGGCAGCAAGTTGCGTCCTTCATAGTTTGATCACCCCAAAGGTTCCACGACTTTGTCCCCACCCTGCTTCCTTATTTGAAGTTTCAAGAATTTACTGCCCCATGTAAAATTACACACTAACTTTTTTCTTCATTAATTTGATGGGCCATGGATTTTTGTGGTCGTTCTCATAAAGCAAGGGCTTAGAAAGAAGTTAGTAGAACTTAGAAAGTCCAGACTCCCCACGATTTCTCAACTTCCTTTTCATGTCCAAATTTGGGCTCAGCGGGTCCCCTTCCCCTTCAATCTTCATGTTCCTGTCTCTGCTATGTTGTTTTCAGTTTAGTTATTCCATATTATCAATCAATTAATCGAGGGCTTTCTCTAGAATCCACATGGGTCCCTATAATGGTTCTGTTTTTATTGCTGAAAGGAACTTAATAGCAACAATACCTTAATCTCTTTTGATCTTCATGGAATAAATTATGTCCTTTTTTTTAAATGGCAAAATGGCTTATTTACATCAATTTTAAATGTTTGAAGATAATATTAACTCAATTACAACCAAAGGTATGTATTAGATTGCAACTTTTTATCGCCAAAAAAAAAGAAAAAGAAAGAAGATTGCAACTTGACAATATCGAAGACTAAAGAATTGTGTGCATTTAAAGAAACTAAAATTATTTTGGTAAAAAAAATAAAGAAACTAAAATCATATTGGTATATGAACAGATGATAAGAAAATATACAAGGCCTCTCCAGTAAGTGTCTTCACATGTTAATCGATATCAGTTATCTCATTTAGTTGGGCATTAGCGGTCGAAGTCACAGAAAATAACACAAGTAACGGTCCGCATTTCCTGATTCTCAACCTTTTTCTAAGTGCGGAGACGTGCATCAGTGAGAGACGACCAATGACATTTTTACTGAGAATTTCATTGTTGTTGGAGAATTTCGGGAGCTATAAACTCCTAATTTCAGACATACATTTTAAGATAATCAAAATGCAGCTCACATAGGCCACAAATTCTCCTCTGTACTGCTCCCCCGTCCCCTAACACATAAATCAAGTGTCCTCTCTCAGCCACAAAGGCAGAGATAGGTACGTACAAGCCGGTACCACTGATGCCACAAGCAAGCAAAACTTCCCCACAACTTGCAACAATGCAGACAATAAATGTTTCCATTAGTTCTTTTTCTTAAAAGAATTTATGGTTAAAAGGAAAAGGCACAATGGGTGGTCCTAAATCAAGAGAAACGAAATTAACGTCAAATTTTTGCCACTTCAAAATTAACCCTCTCTTGTGTGATCTGTAATCCGCAGTGGGGGATATGCCACCTTCCACAAACCAGTTCAGACTTTAGGGTAAGGTATCCTTTATATCACCAAGCAATTAAAATTTAATGAATATGACTGTGCTAGCCACCCCTCTTGTCCAAATAGGTCCCACATTTCACGTGGATGCATGTTTCGTAATTTCTTAGGGCCCCATTTGTTAGTTCTCGATGTATTTTGCAGCTAGCTGATATTCTTTCCGATGAACTCTCATCTTCTCTTAGCTGACCTCTATATAAAGGATCATCTAGTCATTCTTCCTAATCAGCAAACCCTAGAGAGAGAAAGAGGGTGAGAGTGAGAGAAGACACCTTGAGCTCCATGCAAGCACAACTTGCTAGCAGTATAACATTCCAGCAGGCTAGGGGAAAGAAGCTAACGCGGAGACCGGCTTGCGGAGAAAGGAGGAGTAATTGCTCACTATCCCATCACCATAACTTGGTGTATCATCGAATAGGCAATGACAACGGTACTTATCCTGCAGAGAAAAGCTTCACAGAATACGGCACTGATCGTGAAGAGAGTGCAAAAGGTAGAACAAAAGCACCCAAGGTTCATACGCTTGGCTTCTCTTATCTTGCATTATCTTTTCACTACATCCTAAGAAAGGTTAAAGCCTTTAACAGAGGATTCCTTGGAGGCCTTGCTAGTGAATCAATGGTGGGAAGTGAAGCACCTATGCTTGAGCCATATTTCTCAATTCCAGTCCTTCCACACCCATGATTTTCTCCCCTGCGAATTAATTTGTCTGATTTAGAAAGAATATCAGGGAATAATTCAAGACTTGCATGTTATTGTGTTGATTATGTATTTCTATATCAGTTATTTATCAGTACTTGTGATCAACTAGATTCTGGTACGTGAAAACAAAGCTAGGTTCTCAGTATATATCCTGTCTACCATGCTTTTAAATTCCTCAATGCTCACATGCAACGTTGAAATATCTACTACTTGATATTTGTGCGGATAGTTGCTGAGCGATGTATATCCGCTTGAGAAAGCAACATGCATTATTGATTGGAGAAGGATATATACCAATGCCGTACCCATATCACTCCTACTCCTTAATGAATTAATATAAAAATAAAGGTCATTTCTCTAAGTCTTTCTCCTTTAAGATAGCAAAGCAAAGCAAATGGCGAATGAGCTCAAATATTCACCCACAGTCCAAAGACAATACAAATACGAGGCAAAGACAGCTTTGCAAGATAGAAAAACATCTTGATCCTTCTGAGAACAAGCAACTATGAGGCAAAGACAACACCCGTCACGCCATTAAGCAAGAGAAGAATTTGATAAACAGCGATAAGGCACACTCCCAAAAGCGTTGTCGTCTTCTTTTTGAAAAAAACCAAACATATGACCTATTATTATATTATCTTTAAGTACTACAACCTAGAAGAAAGTTAATTACTTTTCGACACGTTCACATAGTAAATAGGGAAGAATGCAGCCTATAGAGTAGGACTTCTCCGAGCTGCCGAATCCTATTCAATACTTACTCGTTTCAGATCCAACGGTTCTTTTCACCCACACTCTCTCAATGTTGTGCTGCATTTTCAAAAGTTGCTTTCAGAAGTTGATTAC